TCACTGCCCCATGTGTTGCAGGAGCACACCTGAAGTCCTTCCATGACACCTTCTTTGAGAAGCCCTGCAGCTTCATCAGCACCAGGTTTTGAATTCATTTCAGGAACGCTCCAGAGAGCACAGCTGTGCTGTGACAGAGAGACTCCTTACTCCAGAACCCATCTCCTCTACCACCAGAGGCGATAAAGAAAATTACTGACAAAATAAATGTTCAGTGCTCACTCCTTTGCTTGTTCTGTTGAGAAGATCCATTTTCATGTCATCTAGAACTGCAATGCAAGAGCCAAAACAAGTATCTCTGGAGTGCAGAGTTCTTCTATAGAGTACATCTAAAGAGATTAGTTATTTGCCCTTCACAAGCTTTTTTAATATGCAGACTTTCACTAGGAGAACGTCCTATATTTCCCCCGTCAACAGCAGTTAAATCTTGTTTGGAAGGAGAAAATGAGCTGCCTTAGTGTAGTCTGGTGCCTTCAATAGCTCTTTTAGTCTCAGTGTTACCTGCATTATGCAAGACCAGCAAATTTAAATCCATCTCTATGGCATGCCTATGGCTAAAACTTTTTTCTTGGTAAATACATTGATAACAATGAACTGCACTGGTAGCTTGTGTTAACACTGTGGAAATTGTTATTCCAGGCATAGACTGCAGTTTGATAGTCCCCACCAGTGTAAAAGAATTGTTCCCTTCAGCCCAAGAAGCTATCACATCCTACTGGAATAAAACATGCCAATAGTTTATAGTGTTGAAACTTTAAATCATATTGAAGAGTGGTAATGGAACAATTTTATTTAGATAGTTTAACTTCCTTCATGCCAGGATTTTGAAGTGGGAAATGATGTAAAACCACCATAATGTTAGAGAAGATAAAACAGAATGTCAAGAACAATGTATCTTTCTTTCTCTAATAGGGTGCACAAACTTATAAAAATAATTGTGAAGAAAAAGTGTCAAAAATTGTGTTTGACGATTTTACAGTATTATTTTCATTTCTTGGTTTCTAGAAATAAAATTGGATTTTCTTTATCCTTCTTATATGAGCAACCTTTAAATTTTGTAGAACAGCTTAAGCAGTCATACTTTGCAGGGCTTGAAATAACATTAGAATGCAGACTCAGTCTATGAAAAACACCTACGCTGCCTCTCCCACTGCTGCCATCCCCACAAAGCTACCTGGAATTAAATGGATGTGCACTGCAGTGCATTTTTCTGCCAGTGTCCATCATGCTTTGGATCTCTGAGCACCCAGCTAAACAGTTTCCAGAGTTTCTCTCACTTTCAGGTCATTTTCAGGTCACCTATGTTCTCTTCCTCTTTCCTTTGTTTCACAAAGTTTCTCTCAGGTCCAGATGAGGGCCAGGAAGATGACCAGAGGGCTGGAGAACCTCCCCTACTAGGGCATGGACTTTTTGTTGCTGGGTGCTTGTATATGGCTAGCCAAAGAATGTTGTATGATTGAATCTTGGGCCTCTGATCCCTGCAGTGGTTTACATTGAACCAGTGGGGATAAACCTCAACCATGTAAACATGCTCCTTTGGCATAGCATCTGCAAGCCTGTAGAGTTGTAACTATTACACATAAAGTAGCAATGCAGAAAATAATTAGAAATCCTAGGATAAAGCTTTCTGTGGTTTTGCCAATCTTTTATATTCAGCATGGAAGAAAAAGCACATTTTCCTATATGAGAAAAATATACCAGAGAAAGCCAGCCCAACATGCCTAATGAAAGTAGTGCAAGAGGAGTGCACCAAGCAGGAAAAGTCTGTGCAGGCTGTGGGCACTATAAAAGTATTCGTGTACGCTCTTTTTGTGATGGCAAAATCTACAAATGCATGCATCTGTGGAGTTCGTCACCTCTACAGATCTGCTCATCTGATTGCACAAGCGAGTGTTTCCTGCAAACCTACAGATAAGCTGTAAACAGCTTAGCAGAAGGGCTCTTACGACTGAGCTTCTTAGTTAGGGAGTGATCAGACAATTGAGAGCTGCTTGCAGATCCAGGTGGCAGAATGCTTTGGTGGAGCTGAGCCACGGAGTGACTTCTGTAGCTACAAAAAAGATACGTGGGACAGCTGAAAAAGGAACCTCAGGACTGGTATTTCACTCCTGATCTTCAGTATAAGCAGCACATAAAAAAATTCCGTAAATTGCCATAAACAGATCAGAGGTCTCCTATACAATCATCCAATGGCAGCTGTGTAGTAGTATAAGGAAAGTCCACGAATAAAACGATTTTTTATCCCTTCCCAAGATCCAGTAAGGTATAGCTTAGGGAGATCCGGGGACAGTGGTTCAACTCCATGTTTAACAGCCCTTTGTAGACTTTTGTCTCACAGCTTTTTTGAACCAAGACTTTGGTAAATTGTTATCTTTATTCAAAACAGTGTTTAAAAATCAAAAAGGAGGATGTGTCAGGACCTCTATTTGGAAAGCAGTTCTATCAACCCTTCCTGTTCTTATTTTCCTTTCCTCCTCACAACAATATTTCTTTAGGATGGGTGTAAACACCAGTCATGGGGACAATAACAGAAACTCCTGCCCTGCTGGAACTGATAGCTGAAGCTGAGGCACGTGCACTCACCTACTTCAAAGCATGGACTGAGCCCAGCCAATTCTACAATAGCCAGGTCCCCAAGAGAATACCTGAATACCAAAGTCACAGTCCCTCACGTACTCAAAGCTCCATTGCACATCACCTGTGCAACAGCTCAGCAATTCCAGCCACATAAGAACAAGAACATAGAGGTGTGGAGCTTCATACTTTAAGTGTAATCACCCTTCAGGAGTGACTGAGACTCCTTTAGAGGCTGCCACTCTACATAAGAGAAAGTCCATGTTTTGTTTTTTTTTCCTTTGGACCTTCCAGGCATGACCGCAGGAGACAAGATAGCAGGTTATACAAAATTTCTCCATAGCAAGAATGTATTATTTATCAAGCAGTATATTTTCCAGTTAACTCACTGTTTTAAGAAAATAGAAGGAAAATAGAGTTCTTGATGCTTCCTTTAGATAGACTGTATTTCACATTTTGGTCAGTAATCTGTAATTCTTTCAGACAGATATTCAGATCAGCCTGCCAAATATCACTTAAAAAGCCAGGATTAAGCAGCTGAATTAAAGTATCTTGCTTTTCTCAATTTCTATTCAATGAGTTGTGCTCCGACAAATGTAACAACAGATGAAGATGTCAATATTTGAAATTATTTCATATACTGACTGAGAAGCTTCTGCAAAAAGCCATAAGAAAGAAAAAATCCACTGTGCATTATGTAAGTATTTATCCTTCATTAAAGCTGTTAGAGAAATTTAAGTTGCTCTACATTGTAGATCCTTCTGTGATATTTGCAGCTAACCATTAAACAGGACTACTAATAACAAAGATGAATACTTACCAATAATTTTGATGAAAAGTTATTTTGGTCAAAATTGTTTAATCTCCTCTGTTTGCCTATACACAGGCATACTAAACCATCAGCTGCTTTACAAGGAAATAATTCTACAAGGACAGGTGTCCTTGACAATGTCATCACTGTATAAGTAAGTGTAAGTAGTTTTTCTTTTGGTAGGAAACGCGGTCATTGCTTCCTTTTTATGTTTAATTTATACTGTGCCAGTTCTTAAAGTTTTTTTTTTTTGTTTTTTTTTTTTTTTTAAGAATGCATACAGTAAAAGAGATGAATTTCCATTTTTCTCCTTCAAAAGCATCTTCAACCAACCACAAGCTTCTGAAGATGAGGCAGCTTGCATATTTGCATGTAGCACATCGTCATAGTTTCAGAAGCTGTTTTCCCTAATTTCTTGTATGAGAACTTTGCATGTAACTGCAAGATTCATTTTTTTTTTCTGTCAGAGTTGACAAAAGCTCAAGACAACTATTACCACCATGAAGAACTTCCTTTCAGCAGGACTGTACAAGCAGTTGGTGTAAATGAAAGTCACACTGTGATGGTCTGGAGAAGGAAAATCAAGTTTGCAGCATCACTGCTGCATTCTATTCATGAGGTTGACATACCATCATCACTGGGGAATAAAAAAAGAAGTACATGGTCTGTCACTTGAAGATTTCAGCATAATACTACAGGAGTAGTAGGAGTGAATGCAGAGTGCAGGAGTGAAGAGTGTTACAGACATTCTGACTCTATGTGCATTTTTGAGTTGCAATTACCTTGCTTTCACGATGACGCTTTTCTGAGATATTTCTTAGAACTTTAAAATGACACAGGAGATGAAATAACCTTAACGCAAAATCTCCAGGTTCCACTGAATAACCAGCAAAATACAGCTCACCAGTAACTGCCTGTCTTCTGAAATCTGGGAGCAGGAAGAAATTATTTGGCAGCAACACTGTCTGCAACAGTGGACTTCTCTCGCTCAATCTTAGTGCATAGTTCTTAGGGAACTTTTTTATTTTATCCAGATCTCTCTACTTCCAACCTCACAGCACATGTTAAAACCTCTTAGAAACAGTTACAAGAAACAAAGGCACGGAAAGTTCTTGTATATTTTATCTGAAGTGAGAAAGGAATTCAATGTTTGTCTTGTAGGGTCTCTACAACTACTTTAGGAGATCAGGATTTCAGCTTCTGCTAGCAGAACCAGAAACATCCATCTTAAGAACTGGGTTGAAATAAAAAACAGCCCAGTCCTATGCATCCCTTCTTTCTTCTTCAGTGAACTGCACAGGGGAGACATCACCAACACACTGGAAATATTTCCAAGAGAAACAGAGAAATCTATGCATATGACTGGGACACAGTTTTCCCCCAGCAGATACAACAGCTCTCCCATTCATTTTGTACCACACTCTGTGGTATGGTACTGATCAGCATTCCTATGAAAGTTCTGTCAGCACTCTTTGTGCTTCTTACTATGTTAAAACTGTGACTAATTTTAATGCAACTCTCTCTAACCGATACAGCAGCAAAAGAAGGCTTTAGATCTGAGAACTGGAGTGCAGAAGTATGGAAGTTTTGCCTGTATGTTTTTGTTTTAAACAAATTACAGTATGTCATTAAGAACATTTATTTGGTCAACAAGGAAGTCCATACAACACACCAGATTTCTGACAAAATCCAAGAAAAAACAAGAGTGAAGACAAATGCAGGGCTGTAATTCAGAACACGCCTCCCTCGTGTGTCAAGCCTAAGTTATTCATATCAATCACATCCGTAACAAGTCTTGAACACTGGGGGATTTTAATTTCAGTGTTTAACTCATCTCTTCACATCTAATGAGGAGTGAAGGAGGTAGAACTGAAGTCAAAATGCTGATTTACAAAAACATGGTAACTACTAGGGAAAACAAATCTCCAAAACTGCACCTTAGATTTGGTTTGATTCAGCTGACTGTAGCAGAGAACACAAGCACAATGGGCATGAGAAGTTAATTTCAGTTGTGACATTCTCTGCTGTGAAAAAAGGCACACAAATGTTTGTCATATCTAAAACAGTATGCTGTTCTCTTGCTCTGCCATGATAATAGTGCTTAACACAAACTACAGATCTTCAGCACACTGCGGTATGTTACAGCAGTGTTTCACAGTTAAAGACTGATATATCTTCCTTCAAGCTTCAAACCAATAAGATGTTATTATTAGAATGGCAAAAATAATTGTTGGCATTTACCCAAAAAGCATTTTGTCCTCTTAAGGATCTCCTTTGCTAGACAGATCTCTAACAGACAGGGCCACATCAAGTTTCTTCCCCAAACTCCCCACCTCCCTCATTAAAACATTTTCCTATCTAATTTTATGTTAGAGTAGAACTCCTGCCAGATAACTATCGGTCTTGAAGAAAAACTTCCTGCTTTATTATACGCATTTGAAAAAAGAATTCAAATGGCCAGGCTACAGTAATTTGATATGTTGTGTCTTGGCCAGTGGGCTCCTGGCTCTCAAAGAAAAAAAAAGGAAAATCAAAAGATTAGGAGACACAACACTTCAAGCTGTGTTGCATTAAGCCGGATCCAAACGCTGCTATATTAAATAAGACTAAAGAATAAGACTACTTAGTTTCCTAAATAGAAAGAGCTGACAATTTGTATAGTCTTTTTCATTTTGTAATGCTGTTCATTTTTTCCAGTTCATTAGGTATAGATACTGTCACATTTCTCACCTGCATGGTCAAGGCAGGCTGAGATCAAATGAGTGAAACAGACTTCAGACAGTTACATTACTACCTCTCCCTTTTACTAATTGGCAATGGTATTTATATAAATGAACTCTGACCATCACAACAGATGATGTTAAAGGAACACAGGGCAAAAAAATCACTTTGTCCTTGCTGGATCCTGCCCTAAAACCCATCCAAAAATGACATGTGCAGTTGAATCTTCCAGCAGCACAGCTTGAGGCAACTGTCCCTACAGCTCTGTGCCAGGTCAGAGCACAGTCCAGGTACTCATAGCTTGAGGGGAATAATTGGCCAGTATTTGGGCTGTTTTTTGTCACAGTTTCTATCAAAGATAAGCTGCATGGCAGTCTCCATAGCTAGGATTTTGGCAGCTTCATCACCGTACAGTTTCTCCATTTCTGCCATTCTTCTCTCCCCAGGTCTTTCTGCAGGTGGCTCCACAGAACGCTTCATGTTTCTGTAAAGGTCTTGATCAGCCTCCACGTACATTTCTTGCTGCTCAGCTTCCAGCTGCTGCTGTCTCCCTAGACAACAGAAACACCAAGACATGTAAATTACCCAATCATATTTTATTTTAACTTCTAAAATATTATTCAAATCTGTGGTGAGTCCAGACTGCCCAGATTCACTCATTTAGGTTGCTGCCAATTACTTCAAGGGACGAAGATCCTGGAAAATACAGAAAATCTCTCTGTTAGTAATAAAAAGTAGTAACTAGTGTTGCTTCAGTTCTTCCCTAATGTACACAAGTCCTGAAAAGAAAAAAAAACTATAAGAGTTGGTTTCCAAAGTAATTACTTAACAGCTGAGATAACAAAACAATGCATAGGACGATGCAACTTTAGCTGAACCACAGCCAAGAGAAAATGTAATCAGTTACTACTCTCTGAAAATGAACAAGCCAGTCTGTCACGCAAGTGTCAGCCATCAAATGTATCCAATGAAATGCAGCTGTAAGCATTGTGTTTAGACAAACTAGCCAACCTCATCCATTTTGCACGACCTCGAAGTTCAAAACTGACAGCCTTACTGTCATTGCTTTAAAGACAAGACAAAATAACAGCTAACATATATCCCTGCACCACATCTTTTAAAGAGGATTCAAAACAGTTCAGGGAGGTGAAACGCTTGGACCAATCTGCCAAAAATCCTCTTTAGTAAGCCCAATTTTGAAGCAAGAAATTGGTTTTGCATGCATAAGGATACCCTCACTTCATGAGTGCTACTCTGATGGAATAAACAATGCTCTAGGCAGTTAAAACGCAGCATGTGCAGGACTCCTCTCTAATGGGAGACATTCAAACAAGATGAAAAAAATCACCTGGGAGGTACTGAACTTCTTCACCTACCAATAACAAATGATGGTTTCTAAAACTGCATCACAGGAATGGTACACTGTTAACGTGAACACTTTTTTTAAAACAAGCAAACAAGAGGGATGAGTTCACTGGTCAGGATGCTTTAATCACATATAGGACATACTTCTCAGTGTTTGGTGCTATGGGCCCCTTCTCTCCTTCCTCAGAGAGTGAATTTAGCTTCTACCAAACACACAACATCTGCAAACCCTAACCCAAAGCTAAGTATCCTGACATATCCATGTCAAACATCTGCAGTTTATTGTTACACTGCAAAGCCCTGTATCAGCAGCCAACTGACTGTCAGACTTAATAAAAGAATTATCCTCTGTACCTCATTCACTGTTGAAAAAATGGGTATTTTCAACAGTGTAAGAAGAAACTTCAATTCTGGCATCTGTTTGTCAAGAGAGGGACAGGGAAAGCTTCTGTCCTGCCATTTCCACCATTTTGTGTTGATAGAGGCAGGGCAGCAGTGCTTGAGGGGCTATCAGAATCATAGAACCATAGAGGTTGAAAGGGACCTCTGGAGACCACTGAGCTCAATCCCCCTGCAATGTACTCCAAAGAGATGCTTCAATTTCAGTGCTTCTTCTTTAAGGGCACATCCCCAGAGTGTGCTGCATTGCCAGAACTCAAGAGGAAACATACATTAGAGGTCCATGTGCATTTCTGGAAGAGTCAGATTTATTTGGTGTGAGGCCATTTCAACCAGAGGTCTTCATTAAAACTACTAACAACACCTGCAGAGGGCCCAGCATCATGAGAACAGGCTTAGAGCTCAGGTGGCACAGGCCACTTAGATTGCACTGAAGCAAACTTTGTGGGAACCCACAACTAGGTAACAGGCTTAAAGGACAAACCTGCTGCAAATTACGCAACTCACACTGAATATTCCTTGACAAACCCCAATAATCTATGCTGAAAAAACATCTCCTGCTGTAGGTTATAAAGCAAAACTCTGGCAGGGCAATGAACCGAACCCACACTTGTTGACTTTTGGGTCACAAAGACAATTCCTTCTACTTCTGTATTGTCCATGGAAATTGCTCGTTACTTCTATAGCTGCATACTAGAAACAGCTGCTTCCTCACATGCCTGAGAATATCTCTGATAATTCGCTGCACACAGTAACACTTAAAAATTAATTTCTCTGGAGATATATAATGAATCCTTCTCTTTGGAAATTAAATATATTTAATCAGAAAATAAAGCAGAAGCTTTATGATGGATGAGTGGATTACAGTTTAGCGTGCATCAATCTCTATTTGAAGCACAAAGCGGTTCATAAACCCACAGATCCTGACATTAACAATCAAAATAATTTAATAAAAAAAAAAAATTATAATTCTATTCTCTGAATTACCTAATGAACCTCTGAAGCATACATTTTACATTATGCTTTGCTAATCGCACGTAACGCCATTAACTTACCAACCTTACCAACTATTCCACAGCAACTGGCTTAAAAATTCTCCGAGCGACAATATTACATAGTCCTAGATCTAAGAATGAGCTTTAGAGAGTCTGGGCATAGGCAGTGGACAGAAGTCTGCTACCCACAGCTTTTAACTGCAGAGGCTGAATTTGAGCACAGAATATGGTAGCTGTTGCTAGTAATGCCACTGCAGTTGCATGAAAGATGTAGTTTCTCATCGGTTATTTGTTGAGAGGCACCACTGTGAGAAGCGACAGCGCCGGCACCAGTTGGTATCATGGTAATCATGTAAAGAGAAGCCATGGAATAAAATGGGTATGTAGGCTACTGCTTTTACCAAAGCTGTTATTTCCAGCCAAATATTGAGATAAGAAAGAAGATGGCTGAGAAAGTTTTGTCCTGTTGAGAAGCATACTAATTACCTTTGGTGGACAGGGAAACAGAATCCCCTTATTTCTAGTCAGTCTGGATTCTATCTGTTACCTCAAAATTTACTTTAAAAACAATACAACTTGTGCTACATCTGCAGCTACTGTCTCAGAAAGATGACAATAAGTCTCTGATGATGGGAAAAAAAAAACCCAAAACAATATAACTGTAAGCTGTTTATAGCAATAATAAACTTACATCAAGAGGAAGAGTCTCTGTGAAGAAAGCACCAAACATTCATTTATGAATTAGACAGGAAGGTTTATTAAGAAACTAATTCTCAGCCCACAACAATGAAGTTCCCAGCTCATTTTCAAATCTGAACTCCACACTCCAAATTTGTCACTGTGCTGCCGCACAGTAAATGTGAAACAAGTTTTTTTACACAATTCTGAGTAGTTTCTCCTTCCACTTCACACACGCTGGAAAAAAAACCAAACAACAACAACAAAGAAAAAACAGTGCTTTCCTTTATAGCATTCAGTTTCAACTTCTGGCAAGCTTCACTTCCCCCTGTTGTGAAAAAGCATTTTGCAAATGGTTAAAAGGCAGGCACACCACAGCAGCAGCGTTTGGTTACCATACCAAGGATAAGCATTGCTGACATTTTCTTGACTGGCCAGTTCTGTTTGTTCCCAAACATTCTCCTCTCCCTCGAAGCAATTTCTAGAAGTAATTTATCCCTTCTAAATCCACTTCTGCGAACCCATAGCTAAAAACTGGCCAAAAGCAGTTCAGACACCTTTTTCCAAGTGCATTAGGTAGTTTTTTCTTCACGTTTCAGGAATACCAAGATCTCTACCCAAGTCATACTGCAGTCTGGGACATCATCAATTATTCTTATTAGGTCTTTTAAAAGAAGGTTTTTTTCCTCCCACTTGTTCTTGCCTGCTATGGATATCGGCTTTTAATTTTGGATATACTAGGTGAAGAAATGTGAATGAATGCAGGCAATGACCTTCATCCTCAGGGGCTGCCAAAAGCAGGATAAATAGTAAAAACATCTTGGCTATTCACTGTATTTGTGGCTTCATATGCACACAAAGACCATTTTGCATGCTTTCTGTGACCAAAGCTCTTCAAGATGTAAGCAATTTTCCTTATAGGCTCTCAAAAACTCAGAGGTCTTGTTCCTATTTTATAAGAAGAAGGTCATACACTGTTAAGTCTGATCCAAGTTGTTCTTCTTTGCTCATAGTATTCTGTGAGAAGATTAAGAAGCAATCAAAAAACAACTATGGAATTCATCCTTTTCTTATTAGATGAAAACAGAAAAAAAAGAAAAAAGGACAAAACAAAAATCTCAAAACCAAAATGCAAGAAAATTCCTTATTTGGAGACAAGTTCTCATGAAGAGATTTTTCCACATAAAGAGAAGATAAAAGCAAGGACAGTAATTATCTATGCAGAATTTTCATTGAAGGCAGTGAAAAATTCACATCCAACATCCTATGGTGTCTTGTACCATTTTTAGCTCTTCGTATTTATATGCTCAGCCCTTAGCTTGCTGTAGCCCAGTGATCACACACAAGCTGATAGCATTTCTCACAAGGCAGCTCTCTCTGTCCCCACATCACCTGCAGCTGGCTGCACTACTGGATGCTGACCTGCACCATGGCAGCTATGCCAGGAGACCAATGTCTTGCTTGCCCTATAAGTCACACAGCCTCCACTGACTTTCGGTTTCTTGCTTATCTAGCACATTATTCTTGAAAGAATTATTTCACTTTTCCCAGTCTCAGTTCTGCTTTTTCTTTTCCATGCTTTCATGTCGACCTATATCCCTGTTCACATATTCGTCTGCTTATTTCAAGTGATTAATGATTTTGTTACTGCTGCATGTGCACTTTCTGAGCTTTCTCATCCTGTCTTAAATGCTACCTGAGCTGAGCTTGAGCAGCCCACGCTAACAGCGTTTAAAATGCTTCCCTTTTCTACTGATTAAAGACTCCTAGTTCCCTGCCTTTGAATGCCACTTCCCACAAGCCTATCTGCTGTGTTAAATATTCTGCCCACACAGGCTTCTCAATGCAAAATGCCAGATTCTTCAGCTCCCCCAGAAAACTAAACAGCTCTACAGTGAAGTTACATGGTTTCTCTGAAGTGATAGCATCAGACCATTTTATTATGTCAGTACTTGTATAAACCAGGCCTACCATATAGAAAACCCCAATCTTGACCTAAAGGAATTCTATCAAAGTAAGGATTTCAATTTAAGAATTTGCCAACAGGATACTCAAGGATTTTAATTTTTCCAGAGCTATCATGAAAGCTGATATCTCCATCATTACTCTTTATC